TGATAGTCTCCAAAGCACGCAGAACGACCGGGTTTATCCTCCGGAACTTTAAAACTAGGGACATCAGAATGCGCCTTTACAACATGTACTTTAGACCTGGTCTGGAATACTGATCGTTTTTATTTAGCCTCATGCGTGCTACTGAGCGGAAGAAAATAGAATCCGTTCAACACTTTTTACCAAGAGAATTTTAGCCGCGGAACACCGACATTTGTCTTACCAAGAACGTTGCCGGCTTACGGGCTTTGACCCTTTATGGCTCCATAGATTACAAAAGGGATTATTTTTGCTATTTAAACTCTTATGTAATCACACATTTAACCCACTCACTTCTTTAAGACATCATATCCACCCACGACGTAACACTCACCGTGAGGTCTTCATATTTCTGCCTCTGGCACGTACTGTTAAATATGGTCGGTTCTATTCTGTAAATGCAATTGCTATTTGGAATAAACTACACATGAGTGTGAAAACTCTGCAAAATTATCCTTTATTTAAGAGAACTATTACTCGATCTTTGCATTCAGAAAAGCTCCCACAAATTTTGGAGGCTGAATCCACTGATCGACTCTACCGTACCGATGGCGTTTGTGGTCTCTGAACACTATGGCCGGTCTCACCAGCTGTTCCTCAACGCCTCTACTTTGACTATCCCCAACTTCATGAAAGGAATTGACGTCCGATGATCTCCGATACCGTGCAACCCCCTCACCCCCCCCTTCTTGACGGTCGAAAAAATACCGCCAGCAGTTTTTTTTCTCCTGAACCCTTCAAACCATAAAAAACATCACCAACTATATTTTTATTCTTCAGGAGTTTTTTTTACTGCTGGTCGGATTTGTGTTTAATCGCTTCCCTTGACAATGCCTGTAAACTGGCATTTAATAAATTAAATTAAATTATAGTCATGCTGTACAAGCCGATTTCTGTCGAAAACTAGACGAGCAAGTTTTCTTTTAAACACACAAACTGTGTCAGCCGTCACCATCTCGCTTGGAAGCGAGTTCCACGGTCTGACAACCCGCTGGCTGAAAGAAAATTTTCGCCGGTCTAAACGTGTTCGCTCATTCCAGACTTTGAATGCATGGCCGCGTAGTTGGTTTGTACGGGCGAACTCAAAGAAGTCCTCTGCCCTTAGTGAGCAACCCTGGCCGCGAACAATCCGGAACGTCCAGAGTAGACTGCAGTTTATTTGTCTATAAGAGAGAGCGAATAGGCCAAGGAAATTCAGCCTCTCCTGCTAAGACAAATGCTTTAGACCGTCGACCATCTTTGTCGCTCTGCGTTGCACCTGTTCGAGTAGGTTGATATCCTTCCTCATCCATGGTGAAGCTGCTGGCATTCCATACTCTAGATGAGGTCTTACAAAGACACCAAAGAGTCTTTCGAAGAGTTCAGGAGGAAATATTTTAAATGCACGTCTGATCCAGTGTAGAGTACTAGTTGCCTTCTGGACCATTTTTCTACAGTGTTCTGATGGAGATAGATTTGTGGTCATCCATACACCCAGATCTCTGTGTCTTTCCACAGTTTCTAACCTCGTCCCGTCAATATAGTACTGGTGATTGGGAGAGGCATTGCGGCCGGTGTTCAGGTGCAAAACCACGCATTTGGACACGTTAAACTTCAAAAGTCATCTGCTCGACCAAGCACACAGTTTGTTGATGTTCGACTGCAACTTCTCTGCGTCATCATCACACTTGACTTCACTTCATATTTTTATGTCATCCTCGAACATGAGAGCCTCCCAATTCACTTCGCTGATGCAGTCATTAACATAAATCAGGAAGAGTACTGGGCCTAAGACAGAACCCTGTGGGACACCACTTTCCACCTTTACCCATTCCGAGGCAGAATTACTAACGACGACTCTTTGTAGTCTGGAGGACAGAAAACTCCTGATCCACTTAAACATTCTTCCTTGAATCCCTACATCCCAGATCTTTTGTAAAAGAAACCTGTGTGGGACACTGTCAAAGGCCTTCTTGAAGTCAAAAAATATGACATCTACTGGAAAACCTTTATCAGTAGCTCGTGTCCATTTCTCGTGCGAGTAAAGAACACTCGTTAGATAGGGGCGCCCTGGACGAAAGCCGTGTTGGGCATCGCACAATATTTTGTTCTGTTCCAGGTATTTCATCAAGTGTCTTTTGATAATGCGTTCCATTATTTTACACGCGATGCAAGTAAGACTGACAGGACGATAATCTCCGCAGTCAAGTCTTGAGCCTCCTTTATGGATCGGAGTAATCAGTGCGCACTTCCATTCTTCCGGTAGCTCGCCGTCTTCAAATGACTTTTGAAATATTGCGGATAAGGGTTTACACAGTTCATTAGCAAGCTCACGAAGTGCTAGAGCGGGAATTCTATCTGGGCCAGGCGATTTGTCAGGTTTCAACCGGAGTAACTCGGCCCTAACTATGGTAGATGAAAAGAGTGGTTCCTCGGTTAAGGAGGGTAGGGAGGGGATAGGATGGGGAAGGGAACTGGGAGGAGAGGTTGGTTGGCGAGTGGATGGATGGGCAAATGTAGCACTAGATTCTCAGGTGAAGACGGACTGAAAGAAGTCGGAAAGGAGGACGCTTTAACCTGGTCATCAATCTCCACTTTTCCATCTGCAGACCTGAGGGCAGGGATGAGCTCCTGAGTCCTTTTAGTACTTCGTATATAACCATATAGAATTTTCGGATGCTCCAACGAATTTCGGAGTATGTTTAACTCAAACTTCTTTCGCAGCTTTAAGGCCTCACTTTTACAGACGTTTCGTTGCCGCTTATATTCCTGTAAGTGTTCGTCGGAGCCAGTTTGTCTGTAACGCCTCCACAGACGATTTCTTTTTCTGAAAGAGGCCTTCAAGTCCGGTATCGCCGCAACTTCAACTGCACTAAAACGACACGCAGAAAGTCACCTTGAGACAGTTAATGCCGGAATTAAAGAACTCCAGCGGAACTTGTGTCAGAGAGCAGGTGCTCTCGACTGCCTTGAAAACCACGAGAGATTGGCATTTAAAGACTATGTGGATACAGTCAGAATTAAAAGACTGGAGGCCAGGTGGACTAAGCTCCTACGAAGCGTCCAGCCCGTAAAACCTCAGACCATCCCCCCGAACAATCCGGGACGGTACGTTCATAACTATTCTTCAGTACGTCTTGATAAAGCTCTCGTAGAGGTACTAGCTCTTGACCCTAAGTTTTGTATTGCACGGCGGATGCCGAAAAAATTAGAACTAGAAATCCAATTTGGGAGTCTCTTTAGTCAGACTGCAGATCTAAAACCCACCGAAGCTCGAGAAGTTGATTGTCTTAAGTCGACTCTGGTTAACTGCTGCCAACGGTATCTAAGGAAGTCCCCGAGAAACAAGGGTCCCTTGACAAGGGCCCATATCGATAGCCTTAGGGAGCTTCGTAAAAACAAAAACATTGTGCTTACTAGACCGGATAAAGTTTCAGGAGTAGTACTGATGGATAGGACGGATTATGTGGCGAAACTAGAGGAAATACTGTCGGATCGTTCCAAGTTCTCAAAATCTGAGAAAGATAAGGATCGCACGGAGGCTGTCGAGGGTCAGCTGACGAATATTCTCAAAGATCTCTGCAAAGAAGGCCATTTGTCTAGCAAAGAGTATGAACGACTGAGACCGGTGGGCTCGACAATACCAAGAATGTACGGCCTTCCTAAAATTCACAAAAAAGGGCTGCCTCTACGTCCAATCTTGGATATGAGGAATTCGCCCTATCATACCGTTGCAAAATGGCTAGTGGAAAGACTAAAGCCATTGCAAAGTTACCTGTACCCTCGAAGTTTAAAAGACTCCTTTGAGTTCGTCGAAGCTATCAAAAATATGAACGTTGGCGGACGGAGGATGTTATCACTGGATGTATCATCGCTGTTTACCAACGTACCCGTGGCAGAAACAATAAACTATCTTTGTGATGTTATTCGTGATACGAGCTACCCCATAGACATGCCTGTGAAAACGCTAAAAGAACTACTGACGCTTTGCACACAAAATGTCCAATTTCTGTGCAATGGTCAATTATACAGGCAGGTAGATGGTGTGGCAATGGGATCACCGCTTCGACCGTTCCTTGCAAATGTTTTTATGGGCAAAGTCGAGAAAACAAGCTTGCAAGTCACCAATAATGGCCTCGTCTTCTACCGTCGGTACGTGGACGATATCTTCTGCCTGGTGGATGGTACCACCGATACCGAGAAGCTTGTCAAAAAGTTCAACAGTGCGCACCCCTCGCTTAAGTTCACTGCAGAGACCGAGGCAGATAACGAACTTGCCTTTCTCGATGTCCTTCTGCACAGGCAAGAGGATGGATCTATCCAGCGCAGGGTGTTCCGAAAGAAAACCTGGACGGGACAATACGTTAATTTCCACAGTTTTGTCCCCCTTAACATCAAACGGAATTTAGTCCAGGGATTGGCGGCTAGAGTGAGACGCATCTGCTCACCTGAAGCTATTGAAGAAGAACTTCAACAGCTGCGGAACTAGTCCAGGGATTGGCGGCTAGAGTGAGACGCATCTGCTCACCTGAAGCTATTGAAGAAGAACTTCAACAGCTGCGGAACACACTTCGGGAGAACGGATACCCAGATAGATTTATCCTCCGAAATATTGGGGAACGCGTTGAAAAGCCCACTGTTGCAACTTTGGAAAAGAAAGATGTATTCATAAGATTGCCTTTTAGAGGAGACGCAGAGAGCGAACTAGTCCGACGGCGCTTAACTACAGCTATCACGAGGGCATTCCCTGCGGCGAATTTACGCGTATGCTTCACAAACTCTCCCCTCCTACGTTTTGGAGGTAAAGACAGACTACCGTTGGAGGCCACATCAATGTGCATTTATTCATTCACTTGCTCCCGTGGAGCAGGATACATCGGCCGCACAACGAGGCGCCTGGTAAAGAGGGTGCGTGAACATATGCCCGCCTGGCTAGACAGAGGTGAGACCCGGTCGATTTCGAGTTCTATTCTCGCGCATTTAATCGATACGAACCACCGAGTCGATGCCAAGAAAGCATTTCAGGTTGTCTACCGGACACCAACATGCTTCTCTAAAGGCCTACGCCAACGGATACTAGCAACGGCAGAGGCAGTAGCTATACGGTTAGTGAATCCGGTGTTATGCTGTCAGAAAACTCTGACACAAGCGCTTTCGCTGCCGTGGCCAACGCCAGCCCCAAGTGATGAAGCCATGCCGCCTCAAATCCCTAATCACGGTGATGGGTACTCCGTGTACTCAACCCAAGATCATTACTCAAAGACTCTCTGACCCCCCTCCACTAGCTCTGACGACTAACACCCGCCGACCTTCTCATGCGGGCGGCGTGGGGATGATGAGTGTTAGTGACTTAATAGCCCTTGAAGCATCTATAAACGCTGTTGATTTTGTACATTTTCATTCGTTCATGTAATTGTATTGGCCTGAGGAGGAATTACCGAAAACGTGCGTTCGCCATCTTGACTTTTCAAAAATAAATTTACATGCAATTTTAGACGACGGAGGCAAAATCTGTACAAAGTGCAATACAGAGTTTCTAATTAGATATCCGTTAAGAAAAATGATAAGCGAGGGGTTAAAAAAAACTACGTCAAAATTTAAAAATGATTGGATTAATTTTACAGGAGAAAAAACCCTCGAAAAAAATAGAAACAGAAGAATGCGGGCAGGAGTGGCCTGCATGTGGTGGTATAGAATGGATTATAGTCGGACATCATCAGGACCGAAGTAAATGTCAGCTGTGTATGGCATTGTGTAACGGATTTCATAAAGGGGTAAGGGGCGGGTCGTTCAGGTCTGGCCTGTATGTGGCCTTGAAAAAGATAAATAAGTGGCGAAAATTAAAACCAGTCTCGAGGCGATAGGAACCCAGATGAGGTCGGTTACATTCATCCGAGTCCATCCGAGGATGGGGCAAGGGGGATGCGACCAGACTACTACTATATGGCGAATGCAGACGGTTTCGCCAAGAGCGTCCATGGAGCGCATTCTGTGAGGACACGATGCACGAACTGAAAAATTGGAAAAATTAACATTTCTGGTGAGGGATCTTAGGA